AAAAAAAAAAAAAAAAAAAAAAAAAAAAAAAAAGCATTCCAACATGAGATGCTTTTTAAAAATATATTAATTGTACATTTTTGTAGTAATAAAATATACCACATGAGAATGCAAAGACTCTCCACAAAGGTACTCTTTAATTTAACGAAAATGAGAGTGTACCACGTGTGGTGAGAGATTATCGCTCCTTTCAGGCCTTTTATTTTTATTTTTATTCCTATTCTTTTTTTTTATTTTTTTTTTTCCCTTTACCTTTATCAAGCAATTAACATGCACTGGCGCAAAAAAAAAAAAAAAAAAAAAAAAAAAAAAAATGTTTTAACTTTTCATGGGAGAATACACTCACGAGCCTACTTACACATATGTGCGAAAGGTTAACGCATAAAATGTAGATTGTGTTTTGTGTCACAGTGGAAAATTACTTTGTGTGTTTTTTTTTTTGTTTTTTTTTTTTATTTCCTTTCCTCGGGGGAATGTGTGCACATGGTTCTTTTGGCGGCAAGCCCGGTGGGGAAGAAGTGCGCCAATTTTTGTGACTTGTGTTGTGCCAACTTTGCAATAACTTTTTTTTTTTTTTGTTTTTTTTTTTTGTTTTCTCTCTGTTGCTTTTACTTTATAGAAATGCCAACATAGTGTTGTTTCGTTGCGCCAACATTGGGATTTTTTTTTTTTTTTAAACTTTAGAGTAGGGCCACCAGATGAGGGACTGTGAAATATGGACAGCGTGTAGTGGCGAGAAGGAGGACGTGACACCAAGTGGAGCCTCAAATTGGTTGCGACTGGGGGAGACCACAAAGCGGAGCTCAAAAAAAAAAACAAAAAAAGGATCAACATTTGGCCACGCGGCGCACCAGCGAGCGAATAAATTAAACCCTCAATGTGAACCCTCAAAATGAACCCTTAAAATGGAAGAATGGAGCGACGGGGTAGCGCGAAGGAACAACAGCACTCCACGAAGTGCTACGGGAATTGCCCTACGAAATGTGCCACTAGGATAAGAGATACACCCAACCGGAACAGAAACGAAATTGAAGACGTTACGAAATTGAAGACGTTACGAAAGTGAAGACGTGACGAATTTGAAGACGTTACGAAAGTGGAAGGGGGTGCGTTTTCCCTCCAGAATAAAACCCCTCGCGCATGCGGAACAACTGCCTAAGTGGCCTCATTGCCTCGGCGTAAAAAAAAAAAAAAATAATAAAAAATAACAACGTCGCTCGGGTGCATTTCCCCGCCTTGGAGTGTAATTACATGTGACGACATTTCAAGATTTGCAATGGGGCCAGTATGTGCAAGTATAAGAATGTATGTCTCCGTGTAGAGTAATCAGGGGATATATATATTGGCCCACTTCTTTTTGTGAATAGTTTTTCCCATTGTACACCCCCTACAATACCAGTGTGTAGTGCCAACAGTAGCTCCAATGGCGTGTCGCCTCATCCGTCCGTTCTCGTATATATTATTTTGTCATGCCACATGACTTTACACGTAACTGTTCATACATACGTGGTGCATTTTTTTTGTTCGCTCCACTGTGCATGCATGCATACATGTGTCACTAATACATCGCAGTCCGTGGTGCCGCGCGTGAGAATTCGACCCGCTTGGCGCGCACACTGCTTTGAGTTTGCTTTCCGTTTGTTCACCGCTGCGTTGTTTGCTCGTTTGTTTGTTGTTCTTTTTTATTTTACTTCTTTTTTTACCTCTTTTTTTACCTCTTTTTCCCCCCTTTGGCTTCCCTTCCCACGTTTTCCACTCTACCTCTCCCTATCCCACCCCGTACACTTTGCCATGGAAAATCCTCTTGCCAAAATGTGCAGGGCTAAGTATTTGTTCTCCCTCGCCGTGTGTGTGATTGTCCTCCTGATGAAGGGACACTCCTCGAGCAAGTGCACCCGTGGCGAGATCCCCCAGGGGAAGCTCACTCTTTTTCTAGAAACAAAGGTGGAAAAAAAAAAAAAAGTCATTCGAAAAAAAGAGGGGAAAAAATGATATGAAAAGTAGGCCAGTCAAAAATGGAAACTTCTCTCCTCCTGGACATGTCTGGTCAACCAATATATATTTTTGCCTACCCCCTGCAGCTGGCCGACTTGGCAATAGCCGATCCCCCCTACACCGTTTTCAATTTCGCAACGGAAGCTGCCAACACCACTGAAGTGTTAGAGGGTTAAGTTGAAAAGGGCAATCGCAAAAAAAAAAATGCAAAAAAAAAAAAAAAAAAAATGTTCACCAAACATATGAACAGGCCAAAGTGCGCTTTACGGGGTGTGTGTACCACTACGTGGTGCAAAATGAGAGTGATCGGATGTGTGTATGCTTAGGTTGGGGTACACCATCAGCATGTTGCTATTACCTCCTACTGGATGTTCTCCCCCATGTTGTGCAAACTTGTTTAAGGATACTTCCCTCCAAATAAGTTACACAATGCTTCATCAACACCTCCGTTTGCACCCCGCCTTAAGATTTCACCTTTTGTGTTTTTTTTTCCCCTGGTGTAGATGAGCTCAGGAGAAAGGAGGTAAGCGCCTCGAAAAAAAAAAAAAAAAGGGGTCACTTTCTTTTTCCATTTGACCATAATCCAACGGTTGAAAACAATGGGCAAGCAACACCATCCATTGCAATCGCATGCGTGCGACGCCCCCCACAAAAGGGTTACCCCCAAATTTATCCATTACGTTTTTTTCTTCCCCTCCGATAATCAAAACGCTGCTTCATCTTATACCCCCTTGTTTCCTCCTTCGCAGAACAAAGCCATGAGGCGATTCAGGCACGATTTAGTAGGGAAAGAAAAGTTTCAGCGCAATGCTCTTTGCTGCATCGGGGGAGGTATCCATCCGTGTTGTGGTGTAGCCCCGTTGCTGTGTGTGCACTTCTTCTGTGCGCACTTGTGTGTGCCAATTCATACACTTCCTCCCCCCGCCACGCGGCGCGACATACATTTTCCCCTATACCAGAGCGAAAAGAAGGAACGAGCCTCAAACTTTCTAACCAGCCTTTTGAAAAATTCTCTGGAGTTTTTCGACTCCGATTATAAAAGCAGCTGAGACGGAGAGGCGTGCACATGGCAGGGGAGAAAAATATATAAGCTGGTTAACAGCTAGCATAATTCCATGTAGCTGTTTTTTTTTTTTTTTTTTTTTTTTTTCGTTTTTTTTGGAAACGATTATATCAACATCTGAAAACAGCTAGTTTGTGCTTCTCCACATTTAAGCGTTCCTTCCCGCATGACCAGTGTGCGCAAAGGGGGGTATATTAAAGACCCTGAGTGGGTAGTCCACGTATTAGCATGCACAGCAGGATGAACTTCCCTGCCTGCATGCAGGCACGGCGAAGTTTTGCCAGGAGGGTAGAACAGGGGCTGAAGCCATCGTCCCTCAGAGTGCGAAGTGACAAGTCCAACTTCAACGACATAATAAATAAGTACTTTCCAAATGCGAAGCTGCGAAAGGGAGCAAGTGGGCGTAACATCCCTCCCTGCAGCGACAGCACTGGGGAAAAGTACTACTTGTCTGCAAGAATGAAAAGAAAGGCGGAACAGTTAAGTGGTGGTAAGGATGTCGACCTTAGTGGAGTGGAAGCGGGGAGTGCAGCCTTCCTTCCGACCAGCAGCCCCACAGATGGTAAGCAACTGTATGAAAAGGCAGTTACAAATTTTATGACCAGCCCAAAGGGACCTCACAAGACCACGCAGCCAAGCAGGAACAATGCGAAGCGAATAGAACTGATGGAGATAACGAAAGAGGATCACGAAATTCAAAAATACAAAAATAAGTTACACAAGAGAATATGGATTTGTCTTAAACGGAATAATGAAAAAGAGTTTGAGAATTTGTACAACGAACTAAGCATGTACCATTTGAAGGATGAGGTGTCCTACACTATCCTGCTCCATGGCAAGCTCATTATATCCGATGGGGGAGACATGAAAGAGTGTTTTAAGCTACTTGACGATATGAAACAAAACAAAGTGCACCCCTCACTAGTACGTTTAAATGAAAGGTTGCTCTGTAGCTACTATGAATTGGCCAAGTTAAATGTGAAACCGAGAAGCAAGCAGTGGGTTAAAATATTAAGGACCGTTTGGTTTACCTCCGCTTTGATTAAGGCACGGAGACAAAAGTTCATACTACGCAATTTAACTCGAATGAAGAAAATAAAAGGGGATGGAAATTCTGCTCTGCTCAGCAACTTTAACAATATGTTTAATATTCACAGTTTGCAGTCGCTGTACGTGGAGGGCAGGGATCCCCTCCTCGGGGGGGGTGCTCAAACTAAACACGCCCCCGCTTGCGAACCCATCAGTGGGGGAATCCACCGATAACACGAAAAAAAAATGCAAAAAAATGCAAAAAAATGCAAAAAAATGCAAAAAAATGCAAAAAAATGCAAAAAAATGCAAAAAAATGCAAAAAAATG